CCCAAAAATTCCCAATAAAACCCAATAATTCCCAATAATTGCTGAATAATTCCCAATAAATCCCAATTCCCAGAAAATCAAAAAAAAATCCAAATAATTCCCAATAAATCCCAATAATTCCCAATAAATCCCAAAAAATCCCATGAATTTCCAAAAAATCCCAAGAATTCCCAAGAATTCCCAGTAATTCCCAATAAATCCCAATAAATGCCCAGTAAATCCCAATAAATCCCAAAAAATCCCAAGAATTCCCAAAAAATCCCAAGAATTCCCAAAAAATCCCAAGAATTCCCAGTAATTCCCAGTAAATCCCAATAATTCCCAATAAATCCCAAAAAATCCCAAGAATTCCCAAAAAAATCCCAAGAATTCCCAAAAAAATCCCAAGAATTCCCAGTAATTCCCAATAAATTCCCAGTAATTCCCAAAAAATCCCAATAAAACCCCAGTAATTCCCAAATAATTCCCAACTAATTCCCAATAATTCCCAACATCCTCCAGCATTCCCTGGGATCCGGCTCCAGCCGGAAAAACGAATCCAAACGAGGCGACGGCTCCCAGAATTCCCGGTTTTCCAAGCGGGATTTTAATGCATAAAAAAGTCGGGATCGGCGCCATGAAAATCCGGGAAGAAAAAAAATCGGGAATTGTGCCGGGATCCCGGGATTTGGTGGGAAAAAATCCTGGAGAAACGGGAACGGGGAACGGAATTTCAGGGAAATGGGGAAGATTCCAGGGAATTCTGGGAATATTTCCCTTGGAAAATTGGGAAAAAATCGGGATTTTTATCCCGGATTTCCACGGAATTCCGATCCCGGAACGTCGGCGGGAAGGGGAAAATCGGGAATTTGGGATTAAAATCTGGGTTTTAGGGGAAAAAAAAAAAATCCATGGAAAAGCTTCCCGGAAGTGGGAAAATCCCAAATATTTGCAGCGGGAAAATCCCGAATTCCCGGCGGGATGGGATCCCGGATTCTCCCCGGGGTTGGGAAAGGGGACGGGAAACTCTGGGAATTCCAGAAAATTCCATAAGGATTCCATAAATATTCCATAAATATCCTCGGGGCTGGAGCTTTTCCCGGGATTCCGAAGATTTTCCCGGAATTTTGAAGCTTTTCCTGGAATTCCAGAGAGTCCAAGTCCATTCCAGCGGCTCCGGAATAATCCGGGAATTCCATCCCGGGAATCTCGCAATTCCCAGAATTCCTAAACCGGGAATAATCCCCGGAAAACCGGGAATAAACCCTGGAAAACCGGGAAAAAAACCTCAAAAAAACCGGGAATAACCCTCAGAAAACTGGGAAAACCCTGGAAAATTGGGGAAAAACCCCAGAAATTCAGGAATAACCCCTCAAAAACCGGGAAGAGCCCCCAGGGAACTGGGAAGAATCCCAAAAGAACCAGGAAAAAAAACCAAAAATTGGGAATAAACGCTGGAAAACCGGGAAAAAACCCCAAAAACCTGGGAAAAGAACCCAGAAAACTGGGAAAAAACAGGAAAAAACCCCAAAAATTTGGAATAACCCCCAAAAAAGCAGGAAAACTCCCCCAGAAATCCGGGAATGTTTTCCCTTGGATCAGAGGAGATCGGGAGGGAAAAATCGGGAAAAATTGGGAAAAATCGGGGGAAAATTGGGAAAAATTGGGGAACATGGAAAAAAAATCAGGAAAATTGGGAAAAATGGGGAAAAATCAGGAAAAAATTCGGGGGAAAAATGGGAAAATTGAAGAAAATGGGAAAAATGGAAAGAATTGGGAAAATGGCAAAAGTTGGGAAAAATCGGGAAAAATTGGGAAAAATCGGGGGAAAATTGGGAAAAATGGGGAAAAATCAGGAAAAAATTCGGGGAAAAAATGGGAAAATTGAAGAAAATGGGGAAAATGGAAAGAATTGGGAAAATGGCAAAAGTTGGGAAAAATCGGGAAAAATTGGGAAAAAAACAGGAAAAAAATTGGGAAATTTGGGGAAAATGGGAAAAATCGGGAAAAATCGGGAAAAAAAAAAGGGAAAAAATCAGAAAAAATTTGGGAAAAATTTGGGAAAAATTGGGAAAAAAACCAGGAAAAAAATCGGGAAAATTGGGGAAAATGGGAAAAATGGGAAAAAATTTGGGGAAAAATGGGAAAAATGAAGAAAATGGGAAAAATGGGAAAAATGGAAAGAATTGGGAAAATGGTAAAAATTGAGAAAAATCGGGAAAAATTGGGAAAAAACCAGGAAAAAAAATCGGGAAAAATGGGAAAAAATGGGAAAAAATGGGGAAAAAAAATCAGAAAAACTTTGGGAAAAATTCGGGAAAAATTGGGAAAAAAACCAGGAAAAAAATCGGGAAAATTGGGGAAAATGGGAAAAATGGGAAAAATGAAGAAAATGGGAAAAATGGGAAAAATGGAAAGAATTGGGAAAATGGTAAAAATTGAGAAAAATCGGGAAAAATTGGGAAAAAACCAGGAAAAAAAATCGGGAAAAATTGGGAAAAAATGGGAAAAAATGGGGGAAAAAAATCAGAAAAAATTCGGGAAAAATTCGGGAAAAATTGGGAAAAAAAACAGGAAAAAAATCGGGAAAATTGGGGAAAATGGGAAAAAATGGGAAAAATCAGGAAAAATGGGGAAAAATGGAAAAAATGGAAAAAAATGGAGACAAATGGGAAAATTGGGGAAAATTGGAAAAATGGCAAAAAATCGGGGAAAAATGGGAAAATTGGGAAAAATGGGAAATTTGGGAAAAATGGAAAAAGTGGGGGGAAATGGGTAAAAATGGGAAAAATCAGGAAAAATGGGAAAATTGGGGAAAATCAGGAAAAAATTGGGGAAAATCGGGAAAAATCGGGAAAAATTGGAAAAATGGGGAAAATTGGGATTAATCAGGAAAAATGGGGAAAAATTGGGGAAAAATTGGGAAAAAATTGGGAAAAATCAGGAAAAATTGGGAAAATGGGAAAAATAACAGGAAAAATTCAATTCTCTCATCCTGAGAATTCCTGGGGGTGTTAAAATTTGGGATGAGGGAGAAGAAAATCCCGGAATTCCCAGCCCTGGGATCCCAGGAAATCGGTAAGAAACAAAAACTGGGAAAATTCAAAATAATTGGGAATTAAAACACAAAATTCCGGGGGTTTAAAATTCGGGATTGGGGAAAAATCCCGGGAATTGGCAGCGCCGGGGTCGCAGCAGTTGGAAAATTGGGAATTTTGGGGTTTTTCCAGGAATTTTTTTCCCTAGGGAATGTTTTTGAGGGGCGCGGCCCAGGGCCTTGAAGGGGAAAAAATTGGGAAAAATTGGGGAAAAATTGGGGAAAAATTGGGGAAAAGTGTGAAAAAATCAGGAAAAATTGGAAAAACCAGGAATTTGGGGGTTTTTCCTGGGAATTTTTGGGTTTTTCCCGGGAATTTTTAGGGGATGTTTTTGCTTGAAGGGGAAAAAAATCAGGAAAAATTGCGAAAAAAATCAGGAAAAATTGGGGAAAAAGTGAAAATAAAATGGAAAAAAATTGGGAAAAAATGAAAAAATTGTGGGAAAAATTGGGGAAAAATCAGGAAAATTTTGGGAAAAAAAAACCAGGAATTTTTGGGTTTTTCCCGGGAATTTTTAGGGAATATTTTTGAGGAGCGCGGCCCAGGGCCTTGAAGGGGAAAAATTGGGAAAATCGGGAAAAACTGTGAAAAGATTGTGAAAAATTGGAAAAAAATTGTGAAAAAATCAGGAAAAATCGGGAAAAAAATCAGAAAAAATCGGGAAAAAATTGGAAAAAAACCGGGAATTTTGGGGTTTTTCCCGGGAATTTTTAAGGAATGTTTTTGAGGAGCGCGGCGCGGGCGCTGCCCAGGGCCTTGAAGGGAAAAAATCGGGAAAACTGGGAAAAAATGTGAAAAAATTGTGAAAAATCAGGGAAAAAATCAGGAAAAATTGGGAAAAAAATCAGTAAAAAATTGGGAAAAAAGTGGGAATTTTTGGGTTTTTCCTGGGAATTTTTGGGTTTTTCCCGGGAATTTTTAGGGAATGTTTTTGAGGAGCGCTGCCCAAGCCTTGAAGGGAAAAAAACTGGAAAAAAATGGGAAAAAATCGGGAAAAAATCAGGAAAAAATTGGAAAAATTGGGAAAAAATCGGGAAAAAATTGGGAAAAAAGTGGGAATTTTGGGGTTTTTCCCGGGAATTTTTAAGGAATGTTTTTGAGGAGCGCGGCGCGGGCGCTGCCCAGGGCCTTGAAGGCGTCCTCGCTGCCGGGGGCCGGGCACTTGTCGGGGTGCAGGAGCACGGCCAGGCGCCGATAGGCCTTGCTCACCTCCTCCCTGCGGGGGGAAAAAAAACCGGGAATCAGGGAAAAATCCCGGAATTCCCAACCCTGGGAATGGTCAGGATGAGGGGTGGGGGAGGGGAAATCGGGAAAATGGGGAAAAAGGGGGAAAAATCGGGGAAAGATGGGGAAAAATTGGGGAAAATTTGGGGAAAATCCGGAATAAAAGGAAGGATTTGGGCTGGAATTGTCATCCTGAGAATTCCTGGAGGGTTAAAATTTGGGATGAGGGGGAAAAAATGCCGGGATTCCCAGCCCTGGAATGGTCAGGGGAAGGGGCCAGGGAGGGGAAAGCGGGAAAATGGGGAAAAATGGGGAAAATCGGGGAAAAAATGGGGAAAATTTGGGGAAAAATGGGGAAATTTGGGAATGAATGGGAGGATTTGGGTGGGAATTCTCAGAATTCTCATCCAGAGAATTCCTGGGGGTGTAAAATTTGGGATGAGGGGGGAAAAAACCCTGGAATTCCCAGCCCTGGGAATGGGAGGAGAGCGGCGGGAAAGGAAAAAATTGGGGAAAATGGGGAAATTCGGGAATGAATGTGAGGATTTGGGGGGGAATTTTCATCCTGAGAATTCCTGGAGGGTTAAAAATCGGGATGAGGGGGAAAATCTTGGAATTCCCAGCCCTGGGAATGAGAGGAGAGCGGCGGGAAAAGGAAAAAACTGGAAAAAATGGGGGAAAACGGGGAAAATTTGGAATAAAAGGAAGGATTTGGGGGGGAATTTTCATCCTGAGAATTCCCGGGGGTTTTAAAATTCGGGATGAAGGAAAAATTCCCGGCTCCAGCTGGATCTTCCCGCGGGATTTTTAGGGATTTGAGGTCTGGGAAGAGCTCCTGGAATATCCCGGGGATGAGGGAAGGGCGGAGTTGGGAACGAGTCCGGAATTCCAGGGAAAAACCAGTCCCGGAGGATGGATTTTCTCCGGGAATTTTTTCCTGAGGAATCGGGATTCGGGGAATTCCGGTACGGTTCAGGAGCTGGGAATGTTCCTTGATCCGGGAGAGCTGCGATATTCCCGTGGAAAAATTCCAGGGATTCGCTGGGAATTCCCAAATCCCAAATTCCTGCCCCGTTTTTCCCAGGGAATTCTCTCCATTCCCAGCCTGGGGTTGGATCCAGCCCCATCCCAAGGGAAGGGATTTTGGGAATTCCCTGGGAATTGGGGACTCCGGGAAGGGTCTCCCTATCCCAGAATTCCATAAAAATCCCTCGGGATGGATCCTGAGCCTCCTGGATCCCGGAATCCCGGAATGGCTTCAGTAATTCCCAAATAATTCGCAATTAATTCCCAAATAATTCCAGAGTAATTCCCAAAAAATTCCTGAATAATTAACAAGTAATTCCCAAATAATTCCCAATTAATTCCCGAAAAATTCCCAAATAATTCCCGAGTAATTCCAGGTTCATTCCGGATCCAATCCCAGGCTGGGAATGGAGGGAATTCCCTGGGAAAACGGGGAGGGATTTGGGATTTGGGAAGGAATTCCTGGGGTATCCCAAAAAAAAAACCCCAAATCCCAGAAAATCCCTTCCCAGAATTCCATAAAAATCCCTGGGGATGGATCCCGAGCCTCCTGGATCCCGGAATTCCTTGGGATGGGATCTGTGGATTCCCAATCCCACCCCATTCCCACCAATCCGCTCCGGCTTTTCCTTGGACGCTCCCAGGAATTCCCGCCTTTTCCCACGGGAATTCCATCTTTTCTCAGGGAATTTCCACCTTTTCCCGTGGGAATCACACTTTTTTTCCATAGGAATTCCGCCTTTTCCCACGGGAATTCTGCCTCTCCCCGCAGGAATTCCACCTTTTCCAATGGGAACTTCCACCTTTTTCCCAGAGGAATCCCGCCTTTTCCGATGGGAATTCCGCCTCTCCTGTGGGAATTTCCACTTTTTCCCCGCGGGAATTTCAGCTTTTCCCTCGGGAATTCCGCCTTTTCCCACGGGAATTCAACCATTTCCCATGGGAATTCCGCCTTTTCCCGTGGGAATTCCGCCTTTTCCCGTGGGAATTCCACCTTTTCCTGCAGGAAATTCCTCTCTCCGCGGGAATTCCGCCTCTTCCCGTGGGAATTCCGCCTTTTCCCGTGGGAATTCCACCTTTTCCTTTGGAAATCCCTTCATTTCCTGCAGGAAATTCCTTTCCCCTCAGGAATTCCGCCTTTTCCCTCGGGAATTCCGCCTCTCCCCATGGGAATTCCGCCTTTTCCCGTGGGATTTCTGCCTTTTCCCCATGGGAATTCCGCCTTTTCCTGCAGGAAATTCCTCTCTCCGCGGGAATTCCGCCTCTTCCCGTGGGAATTCCGGCTTTTCCCATGGGAATTCTGCCTCTCCCCATGGAATTTCTGCTTTTCCTGTGGGAATTCCGCCTTTTCCTGCAGGAAATTCATTTTCCCTCGGGAATTCCGCCTTTTCCCGTGGGAATTCAACCACTTCCCACGGGAATTCCGCCTCTTCCAGCGGGAATTCCGCCTTTTCCTGCAGGAATTCCACCATTTCCAGCAGGAAATTCCTTTCCCTTCGGGAATTCCGCCTTTTCCCGTGGGAATTCCTTTTCCTGCGAGAATTCCGCCTCTCCCCATGGAATTTCTGCCTTTTCCTGCGGGAATTCCGCCATTTCCAGCAGGAAATTCCTTTTCCCGTGGGAAATCCATCTTTTCCTGTTGGAATTCCGCCTCTTCCCGTGGGAATTCCGGCTTTTCCCATGGAAATTCCAGCTCTTCCCGTGTGAATTCCAGCTGTTCCTGCAGGAAGTTCCTTTTCCCATGGGGATTCCGCCTTTTCCCGCAGTAATTCCGCCTTTTCCTGCAGAAAATTCCTTTTCCCATGGGAATTCCGCCCTTCCCCCCAAAGAATTCCATCTTTTCCCATGGGAGTTCCGCCTTTTCCCATGGGAATTCTGCCTTTTCCCATGGGAATTCCACCTTTTCCCATGGGATTTCTGCTTTTCCGGTGGGAATTCCACCTTTTCCCGTGGGAATTCCGCCTCTCCCCATGGGAATTCCACCTTTTCCCATGGGATTTCTGCTTTTCCTGCAGGAATTCCACCTTTTCCCATGGAAATTCCACCTTTTCCCGTGGGAATTCCACCATTTCCAGCAGGAAACTCCTTTTCCCTCGGGAATTCTGCCTCTCCCCATGGGAATTCCACCTTTTCCCACGGAAATTCCACCTTTTCCTGCAGGAAACTCCTTTTCCCGCGGGAATTCCGGCTCTCCCCGCGGGAATTCCGGCTCTCCCCGCGGGAATTCCGGCTCTCCCCCCGCACCTGGTGGCTCCGGGTTTGAGCCCCAGCGTGTCCCAGCTGTCCTTGCTGCTGCGGATCCTGCGGATGGCGTCCGCCTGCTCCCGCGTGAAGCCGATCCCGGCGCCGCCCGCCGGCCGCTTCCCGCCGTTCTCGCACAGCTCCAGCAGGGCCGAGTAGAAAGTCTGGGAATTCCGGCATCCCGGAAGGTTCCCGTCCGCGGTTCCCGTCAGCCCTTTCCTGCCCGGCTCCCGCCGTTCCCACCCGGATCCCCGATGGGAATTCCCACCCGGGAAATCCCCTGGGTCGATCTCATCCATCCCCCCCATCCCGAATTCCCACCCAATTCCCAAATCCTCAAATCCCAATTCCCAAATTCCCAATTCCCACATTCCCAAACCCCAAATCCCCGATTCCCACATCCCCAATCCCCAATTCCCAAATCCCCGATTCCCAAATCCCCAATCCCCAATTCCCAATCCCCAATCCCCAATCCCCAAACTCCAACTCCCCATTCCCAACCCCCAACCGTTCCGAATCCCAGAATCCCGCTGGGAATTCTGGCTCATTCCCGGCACCTGGAACATCTCCTGGATCCCTCTCATCCCCCCAGCCATTCCCGCATTCCCGCATTCCCGTGTCATTCCCGGCACCTGGAACGTCTCCTGGATCCCTCTCATCCCCCCAGCCATCCCAGCATTCCCAGATTCCCGCATTCCCTATCATTCCCGGCACCTGGAACATCTCCTGGATGCCCTTTCATCCCTCTCTTCATCCCAATTCCCAGATTCCCGTCATTCCCGTCATTCCCGGCACCTGGAACATCTCCTGGATCCCTCTCATCCCAATTCCCAATCCCCAAATCCTCAGTTCCCATTCCCGCATTCCCAGATTCCCGCATTCCCGTGTCATTCCCGGCACCTGGAACATCTCCTGGATCCCTCTCATCCCCCCAGCCATTCCCGCATTCCCGCATTCCCGTGTCATTCCCGGCACCTGGAACATCTCCTGGATGCCCTCCCCGCTCTGGGCCGAGGTTTCGCAGTAGAGGAACCCGCGGCTCTCGGCCCAGAGCCGCCCCTCGCTCTCGTCCACCGCCCGCGCCCGGCCCGCCTCCACCTGCGCCGGGA